ACTGCTGAACTTATCTTCAGGTAATCATTCCCAATACATTACTTCACTATTTGAATATATCTGTAGCAAAGAGATTTGACAAATCTAATGAACTTGATGCAAAGAATTACTGTAGAATAAATTCAGTGATTGGACCCTTCAAAGAAGTGACCAGCTTGGAAAACAAGAAGCTTTCAGTAGTAAGGATTTCAGAGCCATCCCAGTAAATAAGGAGTAGCTGGGTTTATTTGAATGGTTCTTCCTTCTGCAGTTATCCACTGCTCAATGTCTGTTTAGGAGATCTTGAGGAAAAGCTATGCTTCTTAGGTAAAGAAAGGAAGTTTCATTAGATGGCACTGTTTCCTCTAAATCAGCATGGAAGAAATAGCCAGGACACTACATGGTGACACCAGTTTAGTACTCCTGGTGATGTTTAAATCAGAATCACTAGCCACGCAGGATCATTAAATAATCTTATGGAATTTTTATAAGAGCAGTACAGTTAAACTGGAGCTCAGCCCAGACTAATATTCCTGATGGACGAGTAACATTTGCTTCAAATTCAATTGGATTGATCTAATTTCAGTCCCTCTGCCAAGCTCTTCCATGGGTTGTAAAGGATTGTGGCTGAACAGCAGCTTTTATCTTTCAACGCGTTTGCTTGCATTGTATTAGATGCAAGGTCTGTATGCACAAGTGCCTGAGAACAAAGGCAAATAAGTAGTTATTAGTGCTGCAGATCGACTCCCAACTCATTGCCTATAATTTGTGTTTGGGGCTAAGGACTCCCAGCTTGAGTTTTAGTCTTGCTTAGAAAAATTTCCAAATTGGGTATTGAGTAGGAGAATAAACATCACAAATAAAATCTTAGTTCGGTTGCAAATAGAGTTATAACACTGAAGTTTGGCAGAGAGATGGAGACAAATCTATTTTATTAAACAAATACAGAACATCTCAGGGAAAAAAGTCACTGTCTTCTTGTAGAGTGAAAATTATCTTTTGACTTTTAACATTCAGGAAGTGCATAGCTCAGAAAAGCAATACATGCACATTTAGCTAGCCAGACCTTGAAAGGAAATTTCTGGAAAAGAGACACACTGAAAGAGGTGGCTGAACAAACTGTTTTCTTTGCTGTATGTTTGGTTGGTGGACAGGGGAGGCTGTGCCATTTCACAGCAAAGATTTAGATAGCTAATCTAGACAAACAGCTCTGGCATTTCCTCACTTGAATTCTTAATTTGTCAGCCTTCAATTTTTACCTAACCTGCTTTTCACACAGAAAACAAACATGTTTCAATCCTTAAAATAAAAAAAAAAACAAACTGTAAACTTTCAGTCTCATTCCCTTTCCAAAAAAAATGACAAGTAGAAAGGAAAACTTAATGAGGAATATCATCATACCACATCAAGTTAGTCTGACAGCGTTCAGGATTTCAGGGTACAATATAAGATTGTTCACCACTACCAGAATCTAGAAGATTAAATATAAAACAGTGCTATAAACACAAACTGCTTTCCGTAATACAGACTTTCATAAACAGTGTAGATAACCACGGAACAGTGCACATTTTTTGTAAAAGTTCATGTTTCATATCCTATCAGTGATTTAGAACAGGCTTGTCTGATAGGATTAGGGACATGAAGTAAAATGAAATTACTCCTGCAACACACTGTACTGTTTCTTTTTCTTTTATATTCAGTTGCTGGTTTATATGTGCCCTCCAGAAGTAGGGGTTGCTTAAACTGCCATACTTCCACAGCCCCACAAAACCAAAGGGGAAACAGAAGAGTGAATTAACTCCACCCAAAATGATCTGATACCAGTATCTCAGAAAGCCAGATATAAGCCTCTCACAATATTCTCAGTAGGCTGTTCTCCAGAATCAGCTTTCACTGGCTGGCTGCTTAAACATCTGTTCTAGACCTGTAAATTCCCAAAATCTTTACAAGACCTCACCATTAATGCAAATATAGTTCAAGCTTTGCTTTTATTTGTGACGTTTTCCTCTCAGAAAATCTTCAGTCAAAAAAGAAAAATATCTTACACGTGACTGCTTACTGAGCCTGCATGAACTAAATTACCTTGCCCCAAGGCAAGCAAAGTTCCCTAGAGGTTAATTGGAACTTTTTCCTCAAATAATACATACTACATTTCAGAACATATTATCAGGTCACTTTGCATAGCAACATGTCTGATAAGGAGCTGCACAATCTCAAGGGCATTAGTGAATTGTAACCTCTCTGAGAAAAACTGGATATTGTTTAAAAAAAAAAAAAAGAAAAAGGCAAAGCAGCCTCAGCAGGCCAGACTCCAAACTCATCTGTTACATGAGTATATTTGCAGAGAAAGTCTATTAATTTCAGCCCTAATTCATTCTGGCTGCTGACAAAATTAAATATCAAGAATCCTAAATGCTAGAATGCAGTCCTCAATTTGGGAAACTGCCTTCTTTGAATGTCTTTTGGCAATTATCATTCTGGGTGACAATTCTTCCCAAAATACTTTCTTACTGTGACTTGACAGTAAGTACTAGCATTGATTTCAGTGGACCTACCAGACAGTGGTAAAATGTTAATCTCTGAGTAGAATACCAGAATTTGGTCATACACAGAACTCCCTAAAATAATGAAATGTATTGCCTGTAAGCAGGCAAACATTATTTCTATTAAGCATTTAATTATAATTACAATTTTATCTATGCTTTTGAGCTAACACAAGCAAAATCTTGTCCTATTTTTGGCCAAATCTTTGGAAGCGCTGAAAAGCATCTAAGAAATAACTTGTGATCTGGCCTTTAGGACCTAAAGGCCAGTGATCACTGCACACCTCATAAAACAAAGATAATTTTTTCTTCTAACTGAATTTTGCATTTTATTACCAATATTTTTATGACTTTGACCATTATTCTACCAGCTTTATCCATTCTATGAGGCCTGCATCACAAGAATGAACATGAACTTTGCCATTCATTTCAGTGGGTGAAATACTGATTACTCGCATTCAGGAAACAAAGTCTTATCTATTTCCTCCTCTTTTCCAGGACCTCTAAAAGAAGTAGGACTAACTGGAAAGCAATCTAATTGCACAAAGACATGCAACAAGACAAAGTACCATATGCAATTTGCAAGCTAAAGGAAGAAAACAAAAAACCTTTGTAAATGCTGAAAGTGCACTTGGAACCTTTTACTTCTTTGCATCATATCCCAAATTCCCCATCTCCAGTTGGTGCAGGCAGATAACAGAATTACTTTGGACCTCATTAGTGGAAAACAGTAGAACATACAGTCAAGCTCCACTCTTTCAGCTGGAGGGGTCGCTACAGACAAATAACCACAGGCAGAAATGGCAGAGAGAATGTATTGTTTTTATAGAAAACACAAGTCACCATAAGAAATTAGGCTTAACATAAGCTACAGACAAATAAACATGGGAGCTGAAATTAGCTACCTCAGAGCACATAAGGTTACCCTCCTTCACTCCTCCATACAGAAGTTCCCCATGCCTGACACTTGTGGTTTGCTTTGGTACTAGCAAACTCAGAAGTTATCTTCTGCACCACAGAAAACCAAAAACCAAACAAAATGTGGCAGAGGGATATTGACATTTAGGTCCACATTGCGATTGACTTTCCATCAGCTCTGAAGATGACTGCATGCACCATTAGGAGCTATGGGTGCAGATTCCTAGTCATATTCTTTTTATGAAGAAGGCTGCAGTGGCACCCCGAGAGCCACTAGCTGACATAGACAGCAGTAAAGTAGAGAGTCATCTGCTTTATCTGCATTAGAATTGCACAAAATGACTTCTTAAGGTAGCATCTGGGACAGAAATAAGGTTTGGTCAAGTTTCATCCCAAATCCTTTCAATTCTCTTTTCCACCAAAAGGGCAACAATCACAACAGCAAACATCTTCTTATCCCTCAGCTCATACCAAAAAGAAAGCTCATTCTTCCTAGAGAATTTAAACTGAAGGACAAGCTTCCTTTTCCTTTTTTTTTTTTTTTTTTTTTTTTTGTTAGGATTATGGTTTTTAATGCAGTCTTTGGGTAGAGACAGGAGAACCAAGACTGCGACTATGGATGTTTTGAAGAGAAAGTTCTTGCAGAAAGGGCAGTCGGACATTGTGTTACCCTGGTCCCCTCTTAGCCCAGCTGCTCTGTTGTCAGTGTAGCTGCACTGGCAGTGAGAATCTGTGAGTTGGGGGTCTCCTGAGACGGCCAACACACCGCATGAAGGTTCAATGCAATGATGCTCTTAAACAAGGGCACTGTTTAACCCCGTGCATTTTATTTTTAAAGCAGAAAATGAATGTTATTGCTTTGTTCTCTTCTCAGAGGGAAAAAATGATGTCATATATTTCCAACATTGCCAGCACAGTATAATATTTCACTGTCTCTAATGAGAATGAACATAAAGAAACAAAAATAGTGCTTAAAGAAAACATAAATTAAATATAATAAAAACAATAACATGATTAGTGGGTGTAAGCATTATAATCAAGGCTTTCTTTAATATTTGGCCAAGAAAAAAATCCCCTGATAATTCTTTTATTTTATCCTCTCTCTCTTATTCAGATGCAATTGTATGTGTCCATTTATTTAATTCCTTTTGCTTCTCCTGTCAACTTAACAAAAAGACTTAAAGTATTTCTTAGTACTGAATTTTATGAGCATGTTTTCATGAATTCCATAATAAAAAGCCATACTTTTATATAACATATAAGCAATAGAAAGGTAGAAAATGTGTTATTTTTCTCTTCAAATTAAATCTACACAGTAGACAATAAAATACACTATTAGTAAATCACTATCTACCTAGGAAAGAGCATGGACTAATGAAATACGAGCACAGTTTGTGCTGCATTTCTCTTACAATCGTCTGAGGAAAGGAGGCAAGAAATCATTGAAATCAAACCCAGAAAAATAAATTCTAAATCATATGATAATGCTTAGTATATGGCAATGGTAGTAGGTAATAATAATGGATTCCATTAAAATGAACAGCAGAAAAGTTAGCTTACTTCTCCAATGAGCTTTTTTCTAATCTTTCTTTCTCTTTCCTCTGACGTTCTTTGTTCTTCTTGACTCGAGTTTCCCACAGTCCTCTTATGAGAGAAAAGTCAAATATTATCACCTGATGCCCCATACTGTCAACATTAAGCTTCTCCTGCAAGAACAAACCATCATGAACACTTCAGGAAAGAAATAATGAGAAATAGAAGGAACTAAGACAACACATTTCATTAAGATATCTGGGAAAAAAAAGTCATAAGAAATGCTAACATAGTATGCTTTCCATCTACCTCATTTGTTGAGGGTTTTGTGCTGGCAGTAATCAATGTAGCATATAATTGACTTCTACACAAAATCTGTGACAATGGCTATATGTTAATTTTTTTTTTTTCCTTGCACTTTTCCCTTTCCAACATAAAGACACAGTTGCAAAGAAATACTAATTTGGTTAAGTGACACTGATTAAAAATAACTTTAAAGACTTTGTATTTTTAACAATTTATGTAACTAATATTAAAATGAGAGCTCATAAAAAGCTTATTCATTGTAAATCATTCAAAATCACTTCATCTTAGATGTATTGATCTTTATGCACCTAAGCTATCCTGTTCCAGTGGAATTTGGGAATTTCCAGTGTTTGCATAAGTAGGTGCTTATCTGTGAAAGGCATTGAAAGACCAGCCCTGTAATATACAGTGAAAACTTACCTAAGGTAGAGATAAGGTGAAGGGTTTGTGAACACATGGTCCCCATTTATTAGTATGTGTAGAATTACCTTCCAAAAAATGAAGCCTTGGTATCAATATACTAGTTTTTGTGCAGTTAAGAACTGAGCTGAACTGGACCTTAACTCGCCAAGCTTTCCATATTCAATTAAAACCACAGAAACTTCTTGCAGGAACCTTGCCCCTACTGAAGGCCATGACAAACGTCTCATTCCCTTTAGTAGGCATGATGCTTGAGCTTGGCCCATGTCCTAGTTTCAGCCGGGATAGGGTTAATTGTCTTCCTAGTAGCTGGTACAGTGCTGTGTTTTGAGTTCAGTATGTGAAGAATGTTGATAACACTGATGTTTTCAGTTGTTGCTCAGTAGTGTTTATTCTAAAGTCAAGGATTTTTCAGCTTCTCATGCCCAGCCAGCAAGAAAGCTGGAGGGGCACAAGAAGTTGGCACAGGACACAGCCAGGGCACCTGACCCAAACTGGCCAACGGTGTATTCCATACCATGGGACGCCACATCCAGTATAGGAACTGGGCAGTGGGGGCGGCAAATCGCCGCTGGGGGACTGACTGGGTGTCGGTCGGCGGGTGGTGAGCAATTGCCCTGCGCATCATTTGTACATTCCAATCCTTTCATTATTGCTGTTGTCATTTTATTAGTGTTATCATTATCATTGTTAGTTTCTTCTTTTCTGTTCTATTAAACCATTCTTGTCTCAACCTGCGGGTTTTGCTTCTTTTTCCCAATTTTCTCCCCCATCCGACTGGGTGGGAGGGAATGAGTGAGCAGCTGTGTGGTGCTTAGTTGCTGGCTGGGGTTAAACCACGACACCCAATATGAACGCTACCTTCATTTTACAGGAGGAAAAAAAAACACTGTAGTATCTTTAAGAACCACAGGAGATGAAGATCTCAGATTTACATCTTGTGAAACACAGTATGACTGGCAACATAGTGTTCCTTACTGAACTGTAGCAATGGTTCAGTATCAATAAAGGAAACAAATCACCTACTAAATCACTAAAGCAAGTATAGATACAAATCTTGATAAAACAGGTAAAAGTGTATTCTCTTGCTTGGAGTCACTGGTGAGGGTACAATCATCACAATACACTGTTTTTTATTAAATGCAGTTAGATAGTCTGCAGAGGACTTCTATCATGCTTACTTCTTTATAAAATGGTTTGATGAACCACTGCAAACAAGTCTTATAAAACAGAAGTTCGAAGCCTTTAAAAAAATAATTCCTTCTACCAACATAAAAGCAGAGAAAAGGAAAATCACTTATTTAAACTTTGCTTGAGGTTTGATTAGATACCACATTTATTATACCAGTCATAAGCCTAAATAAAAATTAAAAAGGAAAGAAGGAAACCCCACTGGACCACCTACTGGTCATTTAAAAAGCTATCTGCCCCTCCTTTACTGGGTGTTTTCAAGCTTGTATCTATTATTTTTTCCTCAGACCCTACTGTGATCATTTTTTCCAAGCTCTACATCCTTCAACTGGGGCTATTTATTACCTGTCCTTCTGTTATAACACTAAGGAAGAAGGGGAAATTCTTTTCCCCTCTGCATTTTTCCTCTTCTAATTTTGTAACTGTGCCTACTCTCTTTCATCCCCTTTCACCAGTACCTCTCTCTGTAACGCATAAAGGAATAATTTCTTCTGAGCCAGCAAAGCACCCTCATGTCCTCTGGAAATGTACAGCATGGAATAAAAAGTATTATGCATAGGTACACCAAAAGGAAATGTTCCTACCTGTCCACCTTATTTGTCATCTCAGTAAGAAACACCCTTACAAATACCTCCAAGTACTGGCACAGAGACTGGTCGGACACCAATATTCTTCTATGACATAGCCTTCTGTATCTTAAGATGTTTATATAAACTGCTATCTTTGCTGTTCATAAAGCTGCTCCCATTGCTTGTTTATCTTTACGAGCACTAACAAAGAGGCAAAAATAGTTCCCAACCTATCTGGAACGGACTGCTGACAACAGCCGAGTCAAAACCCCATTAATAGCAGTGTAATGAGAATGGTGACCTTATTCTCAGTGGAAAGTTTTATCTATAATCAGCTTCACCCTTCTTCTAAAACATGTTTACTGATAATTTACAGGAAACTGTTTACCGCACAAAATAAAACATTCTCCTCTGCTGCCCAAATCAAGAAACCCAGTGACAAGGACTTCTCCCTCACAGGAGCTGCAGGCCAGCAGTCACTCTGCAGGATCTAATTCATTTTAATAGACCAATTCATAGCAGCGTGTTTTGGTAGAAGGGTTATTGCAGGAGCTGAATTGCTGAGAGACAGTGAAGTGGCAGCTGGACACTTGACCTCTGTTGGAACTAGATGGCCTTAATCAACACAAAGTCTGAATAAACTGTGAAAGTACTCTATTTCCTTGACTTGTTCCCCACCTTCCTGTCTCCCAGGTTAAGTCATCTCTTCTTTATTGAGACACTGATTTATTAGACACTCAGGTTGGAAAAGTTCATACAGATTTTATCCACATATTGGATTAGGCTGCAATGCATCAGGGCTTTTCTTCGATGGTAAAACCAAGCAGAGGAGGAATGTGGGTGGGAAGTGAGAGGTGTCCATCATAACTCCTCAGGACTAACCTCTTCAGAAGGAGCAAAGCCACAAATCCTGATCAGATCACAGGGCGGCTAAGGCTTTAAAGGTATTCATCAGGACAAATATGAAACTTTGTTGCTATCTGCAACTCCGAAAAGGTCACCCAACAAGCTTTGCAGGGCTGCTGCTTTACCACATTTCCTAGTCCAAAAAAATGGGCATGAAGGATCAAGTGTGATGACAGAATGTGTATTTCCCAAAGTTCAGGTGCCACCATTTTCCTGACAATGAGATGTTGCCCAGAAAAGAGCCCGGCAAGCTGGCAGCAACTAGATCTATGTGTACGTTCTTCAGGGTGTTTACTCATGCATGACAAGAATTTGCAACAGAAGAAGCAACTACCAACAATAATTTCCATTTCTAGAAAGACATAAGGGTGTACCTGGTCAAGTTCACATACAGCAGTTGCTTTCTTCCAATCATTGGGTTAGGCCTGCACAATAAAACCCAAAGCTATCGTCTATTAGTCACAGGTGGGAAGTAACATTTGGGTAGAGAAATACCTCATTATAGACTTCTTTCTAATTTCTTCCCTCCAGCTGGCATTCCACACCTGTGTTCCCTCCCATACTTAGGCTCTTCACAGGTAATCACTATTAGCATTTTGCCTGTTGTCAGAAACCACAGCGCCAGTGAGGTTGGAAGGGGCCTCTGAAGGTCACCTAGTCCAACTGCCCAGCTCAAAGCAGTCACACACCCAAATCTAAAGAGACTTCAGCCCCCTTCCTCTTCCAATTTTCCCATCCTTTTGTAATTCAGCATTGCTCCTTTCACATGCCATAGTCACACATGCTTATTAAGGACAAGTTTTGGTCATACCAAGCTTTGGTGAGGATTACCTGACCCACTTATATGGCAGTAAGTGAAAAACAAAAACTGTACTCAAGCTATTTCTCACCTAAGAAACAGGCAACCTTGCGTTCATTAAGGACAAGTCCTGACCACAAAAGCAACCATCACCTGCATCTGCAAGGCCCTACTTCATAACTACACTGAGTTTGCAGCTTAATGCCCTCTTCCTTGGGTGACACCTATGTCTAAATTATGCTGTAGATCATAAGCACTCTTAGATGATGCATGGTTATAAGGTTCATTCAGTCTTCAAAGTTATTAGTGAGATAGATCACAAGGGCCAGCCTCTTCAGTAATATATGATAATGAAAGCACAGTGCTTTCCAGGGTAAAAGGGTTCAGGAACATAAACGGAAGGCAAAGATGTCATTTACACAGGAGTCACTTGTGGAGAAATTAGTTCTCTGTGCGTGTCTATAGAAGCAAATAATCTTATCCCTAGCCATTTACACCTCCCAAGAAGTAATCTACAAGGCCTTAATCAATATCCTTAAAAGGCAACATACTGGGAAGTCAGTCTGATTTCTTATCTTTCTCATAATGGTTAGCTCAGAAACAAAGCTGGCCACTCAGGGTACATTTCTTTTTTTAACAGTAGCAAGAAAATAAAAAAAGGGGGGTTTTATAATAAGCATCTGCAATATTTGGCAAAGTGATGCTAGAGCTTTTAACCAGAGAAACTTGTACTAATGGCAGAGGAAAGAAGTTTCCCTTTGCTTCACTCCTTCCCTCTTTTTATACTTTTCTTAAAAAGAAGCAGAAGAAAAATAACATTTATCTTTGAAAAAAAAAAAATCTGTTTGAACTCCATGGCCTTTGCAACATCTTCTCTTCCTCAACTAGCCAGTTAGTTCATCTGCAACCTTGCCCCAGTTTTCATCAATAAGAGACTCAAAAGAATCCTTATAACTAGCAT